CACACACTTGAGGAGCACCATTCCCACCAAAGTCCAACAGAGCAGCACCTCCTGGAGCTGGGTAGGGAACAGCAGGTGCATGACCACAGCCGTGTCCCCACATCTCTTCTCTACAGCGGTGTCCCCTTTCCTGCATTGAGAAATTAGATTCTCAACATATCTGGACATACTTGTCCCCTTCTTTTTCCCTAGGCACCTTTCCTCCTGACTCTTCCAGGCCTGTCACTTGAATGACCGTCCTACCAGCCCCTACCAGGGCTTGGAGCCCTGGAGTCCCCCTTCCCGCTTTCCTCCCCATCATTCCCGTCCTGAGGCTCCTCCTGTGCAGCATCATGTGACTGTGAAAGCCCTCCCTCATTTCTGCTGTCAGAATCTTGCTTCCAGCATGCTCTGACCACTGCAATAACTCCGTGACCAACCTCTCCCCCTCATTCTCCACCAGATGAATATATTGGTGGATGAAATCTTATATTAGAAACAGTATAAACATCTTGGTCAGGCAGAAAATTTGAGAAGCCTCAGGAAGAGCACACCTGAGCAGATGTGTTCCAATAACAGGGCAAGATTCCGCCGCCCACCCCCCACCACCAGGAAAACGTTTTCCTTCAGTTTCTTATTTAAGGTAACCCCTATTTTCACATCATTTTAAAATTTAAAACATTTTTTTAGAAAGCATTGATTTCATTCTGCCTTGCTTTAAAAAGATCTATGGCAACAACTTGGTTGTAATTTTGTTCTTCAAATCAGAAATGGCCAGTGGGAAAACAGAGACAGTCAAACCTAGAAGCTCCTACTGGAGACACTCAGCTCCTCCTCCAGCCTGTGAACACCATGTTGGCAGGGCCTGCATCCAGCTGGTTCTCTGTTATGTCCCCACAGCCTGGCACAGTGCCTGGTACACTGTAGCCACTCTAAAACACGTTGATTGAACAACTGAATGAATAAATAAATAAATGAACACGACGAGGTGCTTGTCCAAGTCACCTGCCTTGCCGAGAGCATTCCCTTACTCCCTAATCAGGCTTCTGCAATGACTTTGGACCCATGAGCCCAGGCACCTCTCCTGGCCTGCCTCTCCTCTGTCAGCATGCAATACCAGGGACATTTTGGGATCTGTGTCTGTCGAAGGGTGGCCTCATCAGGATCAGGCGCCACTTTTATAGCTTGGGGTTTCTTGCTGCTGCCAAGCTCTGCCATCTGGGGTCCCGGCCTGCGATTATCTCAGGGAGGGAACTGAGAGTGGGACTTAGAAGCATCACACATCGACAGCTCATAAAGAACTTCACACACATTCTCTCTTAATCCTTACAACATGCCTATGCGGGAATTTGAATTATCCCCATTTCACAGGTGACTCTCAGAGGAGTAACACGGCGCGCACTGTCACAGGTCTCAGCGGTCAGGCTGGGCCAGAGCCAGGTCTGGTGACTCTGGGTGAGGTCTCTTCCCAGCAGGATCCTGTCCTCCTGAGTAGGCTGAGAAGGACCGAGGGCTCTGACAGTGTATGTCTCCACGTAAAGGCTGAGCCACTCGGCAAACCCTGAGTCTCCTGCCCCTTCGCAGAAACCACATACGCTGTCACTCCCCGCCAGGTGGCTGAGGAGTGGAGGACCCAGGACAGCCGCCGCCCCTCCCAGCCCAGCCCTGGAAGCTGCGCGGTCACCTGCCTCCCAGGTGGCAGTCCATCCTGCCGTCTAGGATGGGCAGAGCTAGGGGTGGGGAACTGGTTCCCGGCTGGCCTAGCCTGCCAGGCGTCCCTGCCGCCAGCCCTCTCCAGCCCCCCGCTCCGCTCCAGCGCTGCGAAAGCCGCCCTCCGGCTGTGCGGAGACTAAACGAGGTCACCAGCGGCCCCTTGTGGGCATGAGGAGGAACTGCACGCGGCCTATGAATTCGTGTGAGCGCCAGTCTTTGTTCAATAGACTGAAAACACAGTATTGTCTCATACGTGGATCTCCTATGACTTTTCCAAATATACACGTATATTTCCAAATATATATCTCCATATATATCCAAATATATATTTTCATATATACACATATGTATCCAAATATATATATTTCCAAATATATGTAACTCCAAATATATATATATATATATTTCCAAATATATGTAACTCCAAATATATATATATATATTTCCAAATATATGTATATTTTTTTCTGTTGGAATTTATAAATTGCAATATCATTTACCGATTCCTTTCTTAGTGCATTTTCTCTTTCAATGAACACAAAACATACAATTGCTTTTAAGCAAGAAGCCCAAGACATTTATTTAGTGTAAACGGAGGTCTCCATAGTTACAGGGTATAGTGTGAATGGAAGCCTTTGTTACCTGTTAAGTACTGTGCACCAGTGGGGGCTGCTCATTATTTACACTGCCTGGTTTATGCATGTACTGATCGATGTCCAGGCCATGCCTACAGGCAGGGTCTCTCGTCACTGCTCAGTCTCCACTGCTGGAGATCATGAGGCCACCCAGGGCCTAGGCCACTCCTGAAGCCTCACAACCTACTAACCCTATGGCCAGGTTAGGAATTAAACAGCATTGTGAAAGCCTGGAGAGGTGCCACATGGATACCAGCACCCTAGAGGCTGGCCGATGAGCAGGTTTAGGTTAGGTTTCATTTAAAACAGCCTCAGAGAATGGAAAGAAGTATCCCTGGCTTCTCCTTGTCTCAGAAGGTGTGAAGTTTATAAACTGAGGCTATCAATGACCTTAGCTTACATGGTCATTGTGTACAGTTTTTTCTCATCAACTTGAAAAAATCATACTTATTGCCTTATTCTGGTCCACCAGAAGAGGTATTTTGGGTCCAGTTTTTACAAATAAAGAACTGAGACCTCAAGAACCTAAGTGACTTGCCAATGTCTCACAAATAGTAGATGACAGAGCCAGATTGGAGGGGGTGGGGGGAGAAGTCTTCTCCTATGGAGTTTCCATCCTTCTGCCTTTAGCTCACGAAAGCCCAGCCTAACACAAGTGGCTAGTGGCAAGTATTCATGCATCCAGCAAAACTTTTTTCCAGCATCTATGCTGGAAAATGTTCTATATTCTTTCTATTAGGAGCAAGATGTTGTAGAAACCACAATGACTGACTCCAGCCACATCTTAAGCCGTGAGAATCAGCGTATGCATCATTCTCCCTTAATAAAGAAGAGTAATTCCATCTTCATACGTTCCTGTGAGCAGACAGGCCTCCACTGCATTGCCTGCTGTGAGCATTTCACAGGCAAGGCTCCCCTGGGCCTCCGTCCTCCAGAGGTCCAGCAACGCCGGGTGTATTTCTCGTTTTTGTGTTGTTCTGCCACCCTGGCTCTGCCTGCAGGTGACAGGTATCAGCAGGAAAGGCCAGGTGCACAGAGAGGTCTCCCTGCGGAGCATTCCAGAAGCAAGCTGGCCCTTGGGTACCACAAGCACGCAGAGACAGAAAGCAGCGTGGCTCCGAGCAGCCTGCCCAGGAGCAGAGAGGCGGTGTTGACCCCGCTGTGTGCTTCCTTCCCATGATTTATGTGATGCGGCCGGGCCTTTCTCTTGCCGATTTATGACCACCTGTCCTGGGAAGAACATGAATTACCACCTCCCTGGTAATTTAAACCTCAGTAAGAGATAGGAGAAGACACCTGGGCTGCTGCACTGTCTCCCGGGGTATTAGAAGCAATTAGGGCCAGATCGCTGGGCTGCAGAAAGCCTGCAGAGGACCGCCCTCCCACCTCCCTCTGTGTTCGGGGTCCATTATCCTCCTTCTGTAAACACTGGCTCCGCGTGGAGGAGGGGGCGCTGGAGATTCAGAGAACCAGCCCAAACACACGGAGAGCTTTGAGGAGGTCATTTCTGCAAGCATGCAAACTTTCTAAATCCAGAAAGGATGTCCAACGCCAAGCACCATGCTGGGGGGAGAGAGAACAAGATGCGTAAGAGAGGATGACAGCCAGCTCCCCAGATCATGTGGCTGATTTGCACACAGCAGCACCCGGAGCTGCCCGGTCCCCTCACTTGATAGGGAAGGAGGCGGGGCCTGCTGGAGGGACTCGCTGACGTCACAGCAGCTGGTGTGAGGCATGGGCTCCCTCCCCCGCCCCCTGCCTTGCTCCTCTTTGCAGCTCCTCCTTGCAGCTCCTCAAGGCCCTGGACGACAGGAAGACTGCGCTCCGCCCGCAGTGAGCACGTGCACGGAACAGCGGCAGCCCACGCCTGCTGCTTCTCACAGGCCCGCTCCTCTCACAGCGCCCCGTCACACACAGTGACATTCCCCAACGTTCCAGTATGAACATTCTCAAACAGGCAAACAAGGTAAAAGAATTTTACACCCATTTACCATCACTTGGCTTCTACACTTAACGCTGCCTTTATCACGTATTTATGCATCCACTAACCATTGTATTTTTGTGTGTGTGTGCCTTTCCAAATATGAGGGTACTTCAAAAAGTTTGCAGGAAAATGGAATTGAAAGGTAACACGAATCTTTAGACGAACTTTTTGAAGACCTCGCGTGACTTGCAGACATCCGGTACACTCCGCCTCTACACAGCTCCGCTTGCATGTTATTACCCAGTTAAAAATGTATTTATTATTTTTAAAGTAAAATTTACATGAAGTGAAATGTACCCATCTTCAATGTCCCGCAGTATTAACTTTTCACAGAATAGTTAACTAACGATGTTTTGAGTGTGGAGAAATACGCAACATCCCTCAAAATGGTGAGACTCGCCTCGGGCTGGTCCTGAGAGATGGCCCAGGCTTGGCATGTTCTGTAAACTCGCACCCAATGGTCGGCAGCCTGTGCCTGTCACCTCAGACTTCCTCTAGCTCCATCAGCCTGCTTTTCCTTTAACTCCCCCAACCCCCCTTGGGTGACTTCACTTCTCTCCTCCAGGTGGCGCAGGCCTTGATCACCATCTGTCTGCCTCGCCACACCTGGCCTCACACTGGGACACACAGACAGGCCCCGCCCAAAGCCTCCTGTTCAGGGGTCACACACCGGCTGGGACGACAGCGTTCCACCTGGGCTCGGGCTCACTCAGAGAGGGGCTGGGGGGTAGCTCCTGGGACAGTAGAATGGGCAGGGAGGAATTGGCGCTGATCAAAGACCAAATTGTTGGCCCCCAAAGGCCACAAGCTGGGTGAGGGGTGGGAGGAAGGGAGGCCACAAATCCACACTGCGGGGA